GGAGAGTGTCACCATCACTGGTGTAAACCTAGATGAACACATTTAAACATGATCTTTGATCCTTCTAGCTCAAATATTCAGCAAATGAATGGATGATTTTCAGAATTTAAGTTCTGACTTTATAGTTGTTACCATAAAAATAGTAACATATTTCCAACATGCATTGGTGCATCTGCAGAAATTGAAAAAGATGCTCACCTTAAATACTGGACCAAACCCTCCCTCTCCTAGTTTATTGGAAGGGTCGAAGTCTTCAGTAGCACTTCTCAGTTCAGCATAACTAAAAGTATCTGGCCTGGAACTCATTTCTAGTAATTCTGCATTATATAGTTTCAAAGGGTCAAAGTTCATGAACTACCCTTTGACTTCTGAAGCTTTTATGCATATATATAAATATCGATATAGAAGAAAAAGTTGTACCATCTTCATCATCCTTGCTGAGTCTTTGCCTCTGCCAATAGATCAAAATCCCAAAGACAATAAGTAGAACTAAAGCTCCAATGCCAGAAAAAATGCCAACAATAGTACTCTTGTTACTATTTTTTGATGCACTAGATGGTGGCTCGTTGCTGACAGTAGGAATGAAATCTGAAAAGTAACAGATAAAATAAGAAGCTGGTATGGTGATCAACCGAATAAGTGAGATGTTGAATCTTTGCATACCATAAGGATTGACACTGATTGCCGAGACAGATGGCCCATAATAACCTTGATCAGGCACACAACAAGTACCTTTTCCAGCCCAAAAGAAATGAATCTCGAGAAAGTTATCTGTCACTGGAACAATGAACTTTCTAGTAACAGCTGTAAAGGAATTTTCTTCAGCTCTTATGTCAAAATCCTTCAACACACGATTCCCCTGAAAATTAAAAGAAAAATGAAGCACAAGAAACTCAGATGCAGCAAAAATCATTCACAAAGAATTTTTGCATGCTTCAGTTCAAACAATAAGCAGGATCAAATGCTTCATTTTCTTTCTTTATATCCTAAAAGCATGCCCATGAGTTTTTGTTTATGCAGTCACTCTCGGCACATATCCAAAAACACACATGTCAGTTGCTTACTTGGATATAAATGTCAAAAATTCTTCTTCCAGTACTTCTCCAAGTAGGTGGATCAAATATCTGTGTCTCCGCAAAATGCAACATGACTGTGTAATTTCCATTCTCAAGGCCGAGCCCGTAATATCTAAGAGATGAGGGACTAATTCTTGCAGTCTGATATAACTCTGGTTCTTGAGTTTTCTGGAACTGGGATGAACTGTATAGAGTATATTCAGCATTTGAGGCATCTTGAAAGCTTCCAACAGTGCTAACTGCCCACTTGTTGGTTTCGGTCACATAATAAGAAGCACTACTCAGAGTTCTTCCATCAATTTCGTACAGAGTCCCATCAGAAGATGTGATGGTTTTATTACCACCACAATTTATTGCAAATGAGGAATCTGTTAACCAGCAATTAATACAGTTCAGAACTTCAGATTGTAGTTATTGCTAACAATATCTTACATGAAACAAACTCATGGTAAGGAAAGAGGGAACTTACAAATGGGTACCCTATGATTGCAAGGAATATCTCGTTGCAAACAATTTAATCCTGACGCCAGAACACTGTACACAACAAATTAGTGATGACTCTAAAAGATAGAATTATGTGGGCATTCAATGAATACCATTGATGGTAGTAAGTACCTGTTATTGGAACCACTAATCACGAAGTTGTTGGCTACCAAATTTCTGTAATAAGAAAATGTAGAAGTCAGTAACTGCAGTTCCTAAGGTCTACGAAGAGAATTGTGTATCGGAATTCAGAAAGAAAAAGGGCATACAACTCATATAATTAAGTGCTGGATAAACAAGTCCAGAAGGAGAGATTTGATCATGTTGTATATTTAAATACATGTTGTCTAACATTTATGTATCAGCTCAAAGATTCCTATTTAATAATCATGCTTGACAGATAAATTCTTGCTTCTGAAGCAAAAGAAGATCATGCTTTCTCTTAACTGAATCACTAGTTTATGAATGGTCATTCCATCATCTCTTTTTCTAAAGGCATTGTATTTTACCTTTTTTCTTTGTAATGGTAGTGTTTACGATTCTTTGTCGTTTTGATTGGAGTTGGTGTTAGAAGTTATAGGTGAAGAAATTTATTGCAGGCATGTTGTTGAATTTAGGCTGTGCACCTCAAGTCGATAGACTTCCCTTCTACATGATTGATAATACATTTCCTTCTACATGTTTTATACATTCCAATGAAATAATACATTTCCCTCAAAATAAATGATTCATTGATAAAATTTTATTTAGCTATAATAATAAAAATACTTATACAATACACTTCTTACCCGGTCTAGGTTGGATTTGCTTGGGGCTTTATAGGTATAAACTGGCCTCAGACCATAGTGATCAGATGGCTTAATGGGCCCTGTACATACACCATTTCATTTATGGTGTCTACTTGATCTTCTTTATCTTTGACCTTGGATTTAATTCAATGGAAAATTTGATCAAAGACTCGATGTTGACCACAACATCATCAGCAATGATATAGGACAAAGTCAAATTTGGGCATGGCTGCCCCTTGCTAGAATCTATTAGGCTTCCAACTTCAGCACAAGGTTGAACCGGCCTTATTCATATATAGTTTAGGACAAGAAATGGACCTCAAGTGCCATGTCTACTAATGATTCAGTATGGGATCTGTTACACAAATGCTATGAGCACCTTCTGCAGCAATCTGGGGTTGTTTCCTAAGCAAAGGGCTAGGATAATAGCACATTGAGGATGGCACTATTCGTAGTTCGAATTGGATTCAGTTTAATTGGGTTTAATCATACGATGCTAACCAAAATAAATAGGAGAAGCCCAGAAGGCAGTTTGTGGAATTTACTAATTTTGAAATGCTTGATCCATAATGGTATGTCTATGACAGAACTAATTTTGACAGATTTCTCAACCATAAAGGCAGATTTTAGTTAGAATTGGCTAGAACTAATTGAACACAATTGGATTGAACAACTTTGACCAATTCTAGACAATTTAATTACCTCAAGGAAAACAGTAGAAAGAACGGGATGAAAAAGAGCAAAGTCAAGATGGAAGGAAAGGTTTAATAAAAAATGTGAATAAGAAATGTTGGTTTGATTGCCTTTGCTATTCATTATAATCATTGTGTTTGCTGTATACAACTGTTGTTACATTTGTCATCCATCGGTAAAATAGAGAGAAAACCATACTAGGAGAGGAAAGAAGTAGACAAAAGGTAGCACATAAGCTCTTAAAAAAATAAATAGACACTGTCTTTGAATAAAGTATATCTTTTCTTGTTTTGTATTATCTGATACTTCACTTGTGTAACAATTAGAGAAGCATTTGAGCTACAATGAGATCATCATTATTTTCAAAGCTACAGGTGGATAAGGTTTGATTCTTTTGTAGACATATAAAGCATTTATTTAGTTCATTAATATTTTTGTATGCTTGATTGAAGGTTATTATATAACACATAACTTATGAATACATAACATTTTTTTAACGAATTTTTACATCATCATCCTTAATATAGTTTATCTTTTACATTTCAATTTCATGTTTTTTTTAAGTTGGATATTCTACAAAACTATGAATGTAAATTCTTTTAGAAAATAACATTTTCATTTTTCTCATTTTTTTTATTTTCAATATTTTCATTTTTGCAATTTTTTTATTTTTAACTTTTGTTTAGTAAATTGCAATATTGCCAATATGATCAGATAATCTTGCTGACTCAGTTGTATCATCCTTCACTTATCTCTGCAAAGTATAAATGAAGTATACATTAGCCTTGTTATTATATGAAGATGATTTTGTTTATTTAAGCTAACCATTCTCTATTAGAAACCATATTTTGAAAGTTCTAGAAGTCTCTTTTACAGATCTAGCTTAGTTTAAATCTATTTTTGGCATCTTTATTCTTCTCTTCTCTATCTTTTCTCCTTGGAGGACCTACTTCCCTCCGAGGAAAAGTAGCTCTCTAGTGGGAGGAGACCTCCCTTATCAGAAAAGCATGCATGGTACTTCCACAATGCAATCGTCCAATCATCAAGCTTTAACATTTAAAAAAACAGAGACTCATTGTGAACTTGTTTGTCCAATCATTCCCATCTTCTTTAGCTATCTGCTCCAATGACAGTCAAAAAGCTCTAATATCATAGAACGCAACAGAAATACTCTAGTTCTACAAAAAGTAGTAAGCAATATGTAGCAAAACAAAGGTCACAAACATAAGAGTTCTTATTATATTCCAACGTACATTTTCAGATTTTGTTCACTAACCCATGAAGGGAAACTTCCTCCCAGTTGATTATATGATAAGTCACTGTAGGAAACACAAAACACAGTCAAATACATATAACAGCAGAAAGAATCAATTCTACATTAAAATTAGTTTAAGAAAACAAAGATTAATAAATTTATGATCTGCAAATAAGATTTTGATAATGATGGATAGAGGGATGATAGCTTGTCATTTTACCCAAATCTTAAGCAAGTAGGAAAGAGATTGCAGGATCACATAAAATTCATCCTAAATAAGTATCTAACAAACTGATCAGTTGAACATACATATTAAGAAGTGATTCGCTCTTGCTGGTGGGCAAACTACCGGATAAACTGTTATTTCCAAGAAATCTGCACAAGATGTTAGAGAAGCACAAATTGTCCAAGCCAGATTCTATTCTCAGATTCTTACAGATAACCTTAAAACTATAAAAATTTCTTACAAGTAACTTAGCAAGCTCAAATTGAAGAGAGACTGAGGAATTTGGCCTGTCAGATTGTTGAAGCTCAAATCCCTGTGCAAGCAAAGATAACAGTATCTCACTGTAAAATCAGACTAGATTTTTATTTCTTATGAACTAGTGGATCTAAAAAAATCATCATTCAACACAATTCAACATCATCCATAAGAGTCAAATTATGTTGGACTTACAATCTCCGCAAACTAGTGAATCGTGAAAAGTCTGATGGCATAATGTCAGATATCCTGCAATTCCTTAATATTCTGTATGAAGCACATGATGCTTAAACATGTCAACTGGTTTCACAGTCAAAGGAAAAACAAAATAGAAAATATTTTGCAGACAGGGAATATTCGTACAATATGCTTAGTGATGATAGATTATGAATGAATGCCAAAGATGAGCTCCCATTTTGTATGTCACCAATCCTCCTGCATATGAGCATGAATTGTAAAAGAAGTGATAAACACTGAATAGAAGTGCTATTGTGGACATGAAGACAATAAATATATGATGCCTGTTTGATAAGTGCAGCTTTTAAACTCAGAAGAACAATAAACCAGAGTTACTGACTGATATAACAGACCGCCTGATAAAAATTATAAAAACAAATAGGAATGAACCATACAGATCAGTCACTTTGGTCATATTGGAAAGACTTGAAGGGATTGGACCTTCAAAAGAGTTCCCTTGAATCCTCCTATCCAGAAAATTTAAACAATTAGAACGTTTAAGAAAATAGTACTAGTATCATGTGAAGGCATACTTATTTGCTAAAAAAAGCAGAATGATGCCATTGTGTGAAATTGAAATGTAAATCAGGCAAACAACTTTGGAGCAGCATAATTTAACACTGTCATGAAGTTTATAGACATTGGTCAAACTTATACAAAGGACATATATAAATATATTTTGCATGGGTATGCCAAGTGTGAATACAGGATATGAATTTTATTTATTATATTACAGTTCAATTAAAAATTCATTTACTGGTGGAGATGGTGGTGGTGTTGGAGGTGTTTTGATAATATCAGCCAATGGTAGTGGTAGCATGGACAGCAACAAAGCAGCAGATGTCAGCATCAGGAGTTTCCATCAGAAGTCCTTTTAGAAGAACTCGGAAGGTCATCATCACCTACTTGAAAAAGGAAGATTAGTTCTCCCAAAGGCCCCTTTAGGAAAATGTCAACGGATATGCAAAATTTTACAAACAAATGTTTTCTTCAAAAGTCGTGAAGTCCTTTAGAAAACCTAAGCCAAAAGTCATAACAATCATACAAGGTGATTCTGATTTTAGTCATAATCTAGCAGCTACTTGAGCAAGAGGATAATGATAAATAATCACAAAGTATAGAAGAGTAAAGATGATATGATAAGTAGCATCAAAGTTTTAAATTTATAAAGCCGAAGATGTACTAGTAGTAGTAGACATAGTTGGCAGAGGATGACCAAAAGTAGCAATAAACTGCTGAAGTCTGCAGATATGGCATGTGCTGAGACTCCATCTATTGTGCTACTCAATGATCAATACAGAGGTCAGATGTAGTAGTCAAAAAACCAATATAAACAATGTCAGGATTGACAATGTCAATAGAAGAATATGAAGATTGAGAAATGATAGAAGATAGCACAGATCTTCTACCCTATTGACCTTAATGACTATGTTGATATCGACCTAATTGATTTTGCTTCTTCAACAGCTTGGTTTCCTTGAGATGACCAGTTAATTGCAATAGATATGGGACTATAAGATAGAAGAGGAGCTAGTTATTGAGTGCTAGAAGGTGGTCTATTTGTCAGAACTAAAATGTGTTGATAACAGAAGATATTCAATTAAGGTACAAAGTAAAAAAGACGCCTCCTCCACCACAGGCTTCATAAAGATGACCACGACAAGGAAGGAAATCATGATGTAGAAGCTGTCTACAAATTGGTTTAAACTCTAATTGATGATATGGACTGAAGTAAGAATTTACGTAACTTGAGATCCTAGTAGAATTAGAGAATCTTCTTATTCATTAATAACTCTCCAAAAATTCCATAAACTGCACTGATTATTTTACATAATGAAAAATCTCTTGGACTATAGTGAAAGTTAAATAGAAGCTCATTTTGTACCTTCCTTTGGCTTCATATTTCCAATATCTCTCAAAAAAATTACATATTATAGCAACTTTTCTGTAAATAACAAGGCATGGCACATGGCACAAAAATCTGATAGATAAATGGAATGAAGGTCCAGTTATAAATGTTATATAAAAGCTTTCTTTCACCCTTACAATGTAGCTAGACTAGTCCGGCTAAAGTCTGGAAATTTGCCAGTGAAATTATTGTCCGATGCCCACCTGACAAGATTAAAAATATCATGAGCAACATTTAAGCAGGGAATCTTCAAGATGCATATTAGGAATGGTCTTACAATTTCTGCAAGCTGCTAAGTCCTGATATCGTTGATGGGAACTCACCACTTGCTCCACAGCTATTAATATATCTACCAAAGAAATAACAAATAATGAGCCTAATTATCAACTTATAGTGTTAAGACTTAGCAGTTAGGACTATTGAAAAAACACAAGGTACATAAGAACAGCTAACAATTGTTGAAGATTGGTCAGATTCCCAAGCTCAAGAGGGATTGGACCGGTGAAGTTATTAATTCCTAGACTCCTGCCAACAAAAAAATCATGTTCTTTACTTCTTCTTTTTTCCAGTAAAAGTATATTTATGATGAAAGGTGTACATTGATTGGAAAATAAAACTCATTACTCCATGATATGATAAGCATGCATAATTTCTAAAATTAAAGAAACAAGAGATAATAACAAAACTGAATATATCTACCACCTAAGAAAGTTTTTGTTTTGAAGAAAGATAGAGAGGTTATCTCAGACTATTGTTCCTAAGAAAATATGATACAAGAAAAACATTAAAAAGATAAAAAGATAAGTAAAAGAAAGAACAGAGGAAGAAAAGGCTACAGAAAACTTTACTGTTTACATGCTGAACTAATCAGATCAACTGCTGTCAAGGAGGGCTCCTAAAAATATTGTTCCTCTCATATCATATAAGCCAACACCAACAGAGTACTAAATGCATTCCCTTATCCCTTCTCCTTATGGAGGACCTCATAATAGCAAATACCCAGCAATCTTCCTTTTCCTGGCTGGACTACCTTGTCATTAGTAAGTCTTCTCATATTCTGGAAGTTGAACCTATTAACTCTAGATAGCATTCATCATCAAGTACCTTAAATGGCACTTGGCCTGTTTTTCTAATTTATTATTTCACAATTTTAATATACAAATAATCTGGAACCAGAGTGAATGTTCCTAGATATAATCGAAATCCCTATTCACTCTTAGAACTTCTTTTCTTCAGTTAATTCACAAAAGTATTTGGTTATCAGCTATTGTCTTTTATGACAAATGGGGTCATGGTACAAAGAAAATTTTGCAAACAGATGCCCACATGAAAGAGAACATGAACCAAACACATAATGGGATTGAAGTAGATCTAAAATAAATGGGATAAAGTTGCTTTCCGGTAGTGTCTATATATAACTTGGGCTCTTCCCTATCATCTTAAACTTCTAGGAAGATCCATTACCCAGCTAATCATTCTATCATGGTATCGGAGGTAATGGAGTTTCAATGTGATTCACCCACACTCATGGTGTTGATCCTCCCACATCTGGGCCTTTGTGCAAAATCTATTAATAGATGGCTTGCGCCACCATTGCTTGCACTTGGGTCTGCATGCCAAGTCCATGTAACCCTTCATTGGCTTGCACTGTTATCTTATATTTGGATTCATGTGTCAAGCTTATTAAAATTTTATTGGTTTGAATGTGAGAAGAATTTAGAGTTTAAATATAAATTGAATAGTTTCCTATTAACATAAGCTTTTAGGAAAAGTGGCAACCAACTCATCATTTTATCACTTTCTTTAGTGAAAGTTTAAATATTGATAGAAAACATTAGTCAACTAATGATCAAAACTGTTTAATTCTTTAAGTTTAATTATTTTGTCATCATTGCATAATCCATAAAGTGTTTGTTTTGGATTTTGGTCATGAAGCTCCTTGATTTTGAGATGCTTCAGATTATATGCACTAAGTGGATTTCTATCTTCAAAATAATAAACAGAGTGGGAAGAAAGAGATAGAATAGAGATGGACAGGAACTTATGGAGGTGACTTTATTACTTCAGTGTTATACCATAGAGAGCTACATTAATTATTAACCTTCACTTAGCCTTTGTTTATGGTCAAATGAAGACTGATATAGAGATAAATGTCATAGTTGGACATTAACGAAGGAATATGGGCTAGATTCCTGTGACAAGGAAAATTACTTGCTCTTTAAATTATTTATTCATCCACTTCATCAAAAATATAGATAAATGCCCATCCACTACTTGGTCATATATTCTTTCCAACACTAATCTACTCTTTTGATGAGGTAAATAACCTTCTCACTCTCCCACAATAACTGCTAAGAAAAGCTATAACATTGCAAATGGACATTTCTCTAGTGGGTGTGAGAAGCATTACTTATGCAACTCTTAGACTAGACATTGGAGGCATGTTAAGAGTTTCTCATTTTTTGTTGAATTGATCACCTCTAAATCATGTCCCATAATTTATTTTATAACTTTTTTTGGGCTTTTTCCCTGTCAAACAAAAGAAAGGATAAAAAAGTCACCCCACCCCTTTTGATAGTTTTGGGGCATTATTGGTCTTTGTAGAGCTTCCCACAATGCACCCTCTCATCTTTTTTCTTTATATTCTGTTCCTCTTCTACTGCAACTATTGAGTTCAATCCTATGGCACCTAAAAACTTATATTCTTCTACATAAATTCATGAAAACAAAAAATCAGCGACACCTTGATACACAATAAAAGTTGAAGAAGTATGATAATTGAAGTCATTGATTTCTTACAGCGAGATAAGACTTGTGAGCTTGCCAAGTTCCTTTGGTATGGACCCTGATAATGCATTTGCACCGAAAGTCCTAAAAATGGGAATATGAAGTTTATTACTATGTCAACAAAGTATAATGAGGGGGAGAAACGAAAATAAAGAACATCACTTGTTTTGATAAGCAAAAAAGCAATTTTACTTACAAATATTGCAACTTTGTCAAGTTTCCAATAAATGCTGGCAAAGGACCAGTCAAATAATTTTGATTTAGATCCCTGAAAGTTTTCATTGCATCAGCAACCATTAAACGGTATCTCAAAATTCTAAGAGTGTGTTTTTTAATATTCCTCTTTTTTCTTTCTTTTCAATGTTTTTTCATTCATTAACTAAATACACTTTTCTTCATAATCTAATTATGTGCTGAAGAGAAAGTTGTTAAACATGATTATAAATAATAAAAAACTGCGATGAACAAAAGCC